TTATTACAACTGATTTATACAGAATTTCACTTGCAGTGAACAGGTATTGTACAGGAACCACTAGTCAGTTGGATTGCTGTTTTGTACAGGGGAATGACAAGCTACTGGTCCTTCTTGCCGTTTAGGACTGCAGGGAAAACTTCCTTTGGTAATGAGTGAAGAATACTTGTCTAAGAAGACAAAAGAGAAAGATATATTTTCATTAGAAAATAATATGCCATAATTATGCACAGTAAGATGGCACTTTATTTTTAGACAAGGATTTGTTTTCATGGGGGAGAGGGACATAGGGTGCAGAAATAGGATACTTACCAGTTGATGATGAGAGTACTGCCAGAATTCTTAGTAAGGTAGAAAGCCGAAACTTCACCAACAGTTTAAGTTAAAGATATATCTTTTGAAGCTATTGAAAACAAACCTTGTTTAAGAAGTTAGTCTGCTTTTTGGGGTCCATCTGTTATATGTATAAACAAATATTTTTCTTATTATTTACTTAGCCACCTCTCATGTGATAGATATTCAGCATCAGCATGATCAATACATATGTTGTGGTTCATAAAAAAATTATCTTTGGTTGAAAGTTTTTCAGTTTGATTTGATTTTAATATTTTATTGTTTCATATTCACAACCATGATCTATAACAAAAAAAAAGGAAAATGAAACTGGTTTATAAAATTTAAAACCAAAAAAATTGGAAGGATAACATATACCATAAATATAAACACTATTTTCAATAGCACTGATAAGTATTTTCAAAATAGCTGACTGTCACAGAAGTAGTATTTCATATTCCATCCCATAATTGTAGGTATTTGTGTCCTAAAATGTAAATAGTGTTACAATGTATCTTCAATACATATACAGGAGGTTTTTCGTGATATCCAAAATTATCAAGGGCAAGGTAAGCATTATCACAATGCTTACAAAGATATAGCTAGTTGTAGATATCATGAAGAACCAAGTTCAACAATTCTTTTAATACACTAGGTTCTGTCCTTTTTGTTTCCTTGAGTGCTCTTGAAAACTTGCCTGGCTACTATTGCTGACCTTTTTCTGTTCTCTGCAGGAGCATTATCTTCTTCAATTTTCCTCTCTAACAAGACACACATCAAGCCATCATTTTTGTGTCAGTTGCCCAGTTCAAGCTATGTGACTGCACTCTCCACAAGACATATAATCTCTGTAGCTCTGTGATGGTGTTCTTCACTTGAAAAAATATCCAGAATTATCAGCAGCTCACAGAATAAGAATTGAGACTGAGTATTAAAATAATACATTTCATTTTATGGTTTTGTAGATAATATTGTATCATATTTTTCACGTTTTTCTTAATGGTCAAATGAATAGTGAAACAATAATTTAATTCACATTGCCATCAAATGAAGCCCAAACTGCTTTATGGTCTGAAAAATATGTTTCCAAAACACCTGCTTGGACATCCAAGTGGGATATGTTTGTATATATGCGATCAATTGCAGTTTTGTTGTCAGTTGTACATATATGTTATTTGCCGGCTGGGAGGTCCGTATGGTGAAAAACTGTGACCTCGGTCCGAGGCCGTTGGCCGAGGGCAGCATTTTCAAGACCGAGGTCACAGTTTTTCACCATACGGACCGACCCTTAGCCGGTAAATAACATATTTATTGTTTTTAAACTTGACGAAATTCTTTCCGAAAGAACCCGAATAATTTATAGCTGTAAATACGGCAAGATCTTCCATAAACTGAACAATCTTTGAGTGAGTAAATGGTAGTTAAAATAGAGGTGATGCAAATTAAAGAGAGATGCCTCAGCGAAACATTTTCATATCCGTAACGATAAAGGTGATTAAAAGGCTTCCAAACAAACTTTATTTTTACAAGTATCTGTCACAATCTGACACCTGTCAATTAGAGAGCGCGCAAGAAAAAAAAAGCGTAGGAACATTTGAAAACCAACAGAACTAGTTTGGCAAGGACTGTCACGACAATGTTTTCTTCAAAATCAGTCAATGATCTAACGAAAAGTATTATTCACTCTCATCGACCATTCATTCATGTACGAAGATTTACCTCTGTTCATTAAGTAGACGGCGAGGAAAGTAATTGTGAGTAAATTCAATTTTTTTATTTTGAAGTTGTGAGAGTTTGCTCGTTTATTTGCTGTAATGGCGTGTGTAACTCTCGTCTTTACTTCACAAAAACTAAATTCGAACGGCACACTCCAACGAGACACAAGGGAATTTAATGCGGCCTTTTCTCAAAAAATTCCTTCAATTTCTGTTGAGCAATTTACGGTACAAATGTCCAAATTGAACGGAATTGGAAAGACTCACCGGGAGCGTATATTTGTTGTAGAACTTAAATTAAAACTTCGCTTGCTCTTTCACTATGAACAAATTGCTCGAGAAAATTCAGATATTAAATGAATGAAAGTTCCATCGTTCAGTTTAACTGTAACCAAATACCTCACGTTTCAACTTTCTGGTACTTTTTGTGAACGATTAAAATTAATTGCAGACGGTTTTTAGGCCGCTTGTCAACCAACGTAATGACACTATTGTTTATACAAATTCATTCTGAAACCAATATTTTTCTGTCAACCAAAGTGATTTGATAGAGATAAAAAAGAGGATTCATAAGTTATTTATCGGCTTGAGGTAGTGACCGACGTGTTTGCTTAAAAATACTGCCCAACCGGAAAACGAGGTATATTTATGAAAAATGACAACGAAAGTTGGGATGTACTCGGCGACTCACGAAAGCGTTACCGTGGCCCGTGGGCAGAGATAGGAAAATACTGACCGGGTAAAGAACCAATCAGATTGCAAGACTCGTTACCGCGCCCTCTAAAAAAACAATAAAAGATGATATCAACTGCTTGTAACCTTTATCTCTTGAGAGTTAATGTCTCTAAAAATCAAAGAAAAAAAAAAAATCGCGGACATGGTAAAAAAATTGTTTCGTCCCATTTTTTGTCTACTGGTAGCTATAGGTACTACTTAAAGTGAAGTGAGGTTAGTTTCTGTAAATATTCATTTTAACGGAAATAAACCGATACTAATTGCATGATCGAAAATGAGTGCCTGCGAGCTCTAAATTATGCAGTTTTCAGGCCGTCCTTGCATGAACTAAAATGCAACAGCAGAACTTCTCTAGCTATAAATATATACTTGTGGCCTTCCATTACCAAGTTGTAGTGATAATTTTTACATCGTGTCCTTCCTGACGAAACCACGGGTTAATTACCAGTGGACGTGTTCGCCATATTTAATTCATGCCAAACCCGGCCTAATGTAGTGTGGCAAAAATGCGTGTGGTAGTTTCTCAAAATCTCCAGCAATACTATCACGAGGGCTTATAAGGTGGGTCTTCAAATTCATCGTTTCATTTTTCTGGTATCTTCTGCTGTTTTGATGTACCAACCAACCAAACTTCGCTAAAATTTTAAATGGCGCCATATTGAAATGAACAAAATCATGCAATGACACAAGCAAAGCATTGTTTGAGTCGCAGCCGCACTTAGCTTTTTATTTTTGCTTTGACATCAATAGTTCCTTACCTTAGAAATCTTTATATATCTATATAGGGCCCTTGTTCTTCCGCTTGGAAGATATTTTCGAAATACTGTCATTTGCAATTTGGTGTGAAGGGGGCCGACCGGCTAACTCGTTGAAGCCACTAAAGTTACTTGTTGTTGTCATTTTCTACAGCGTGTCACAACCCAGTTACCTTTAGTCTACTTTGATCCTAATTTTGTTTTTTTTGACGTCTCACACAAAAGGGTCCCGTAAAAAACGGCAGGTAACGCTAGCGATTTGCCGGATTTTAATTTTTCACAGGTTCCTGTCACTCTGCGTGACATATGATAATCTGTCACGTAACGAGATCAACAAACAATTCATTCTGCCTCACATATAAGATCTAAACAAATATATTGCCATCATGAACGAGAACGATACAACAAAGAAATAGACTTTAAAAAATTTCACAAATATAAACCGTACAGTGAAAACCTTATGGAACGAAAATAACGATACAATTTTCCCACGGAAAACAAATGTGATCGGTTAACGAAAGTAAACAAAAACCAAAAGCGTAATAATCGTCGGTGAAGGGAATAAAGACAACGGTTGCTTTAACTCCAGCAGAAAAAGAATGTCTTAATCTTTACATGATATTGTAGGTGGCGTTTGTGGCGCAGAGGAAGCCACAAGCGTTTTTTACAATTTTCAGGTGCTGAGACAGAGATTGAAGTTATCTTAGCAAGAAGCGGGATTTTCGTGAAGCCTGATACACGGAAGAGCTGCTCCTCTTCCAAACCAGGAGAAAAAGAAAATGAGAATTGAACCTGTAAGATTAGAACATTTTGTTTCTTTCATAACGAGTCCACACGTTATTCAAGATGTTCCTTTCGGGGAAAAACTTCTAAATTGTCGACTGGCGAGATCATAAAAACACCCAATGTTATCAGAACAATGAACCAGAGCGTATTGTCTAATAGTATCAACAATACTGCTGTGAAACCAACTTTGAGCCTATGAATAAGAGAACTCTACAGAGAGTTTGGGCCGTGTGTTCTTCATCTGTTCGCAAGTCTCTATTCAGCATCAGGAATGGAAGCGGTTGATGCTATAGAAAAACTCGTAGACAAGCTTGTTGACTGTGGCAAGACTCAGCAACGAGCGAGGGAAATTAGGCAGCAACTTCGTTTTTCGAAGCAGTACCTAAAGGGCGGCTACAAGGTGGGTGCATATTTTATAATTATGCGTTGCCTTTGCAGAGGTGATGTAGTAAACTTCTTACTATGATTCACGGCTACCTCTTTCTTTCTCTCCAAGTCTTCTTTATGCTTAATTTATGAAACAACGGTTTTACAATTCACTGTAATACGCTTACAAACATGTATACGACGCTGAGAATCGATTAAGTAATCTTTTTGAAATTTCGATCATATGCGCATGCAATGCTTAGTAAATATACATTGAATCACGCTCTTGTCATTTTACTTTTTATTTTAGGTACATGCGGTGGAGGCCTCAAAGGTTTCCGATTATTGTCGAATTTACGCCATAAGTGACCCGAGCAATGCTGAATTTCGGGACTCCTGCGACCATCTCCACAATGAGCCATATGAGCAGTGTTATGAGTCACAGGAAGTATTGTGTACCATAGAAGATGAGTGTTCAAGTGCGCTCTCGTCAGCAGAAGATCAAGCTGACATGCAACTTACCATCAAACAGGCAAGGGATGATATCATTTGCTGGAAAGCCCATTAGCTACGTTCAGTCCACCAAGCTGGGGCGAAGCATTCAGTTTTAGCCAAACTCGACAGCCGATCGGTGTTGTTAGTCCAGGACTGGGCAATGAAATATATACCCCGAAAATATCGAGAGGCGCAGTCAGATTGGTTTGCGAAGCGAGGATTGCCATGGCACATTAGCGTTGCCATAAGACGGTCAGAGGGTTCTGAGCACTTTGAATCACAGACACCTGTTCACGTATTTCAAAGCTGCGCCCAAGACAGTGTGACTGTGGTTTCGATTATGCTTGACTGCCTCACTACCCTGAAAAAGGAAATTCCAGAGCTGGAAATGGCTTATTACAAACAAGATAACGCTGGCTGTTATCACAGCGGAAATTCAATCATCTCAGCTAAGCTGGCCGTTGATGCCATGGGAGTGGCTGTTGTAAGAAACGACTTTTCGGATCCTCAAGGTGGAAAAGGGGTATGTGATCGCAAAGCGGCAATAATCAAGGGAAGGTACGTTGGAAGGTACGTAAACGAAGGCAATGATGTCATCAACGCTCTACAGTTCAAAACAGCCATTGAATCTGGCCAAGAAACCACAGGAGAGAAAGCAAGTTATGTTGCTGCCAAACCGTCAAACACCTTTAATATCAAATGGGATGGCATAAGCTTACTCAACAATTTTGAGTACGATGAAAGTGACACATGAGTGTGGAGAGCATTCAATGTGGGTTCCGGTAAAGTAGTGCCATGGGCCAAGTTCGAAGGAGTCATGAAGTAGCCCGAAAAATTGGAAATCCTAGACTCGCCATCGCAGAGTCCAAGTGGCGCACCGACGTTCAAGATTGTGAGACACCGACATATTAAGGAAAGCTCTGTCAAAGCAAATTTCTTAACTGAAAGCGAAAACCAAGATCGAAGCTGTATTGGGGAATATAAGCCAGATGACATGCTTTGCCCGTGTCCAGAAGAAGGATATGTAAAAGCCTACAGTCGCTTTGCAAACCTCCAGACACACCTAGATACTGGAAAACACCAAATGATGCTCGAACAGGAAACTCTCTACGATAAAGCTAAAAGAGAATATTCTTCCAGGCTGATGGAGGGACGCAGTCGAATACAAAGCGTTCAAGTTGCTGCACGACCAAAGAGAGACGGCTTGCCGCCTCTTCCAATGGGTTGGGCCCTGAAGACAATTAAGAAAAAGGTGCGTTTTACAAGGAAACAGACCGAATTCTTAACTGACCAATTTCAAAAAGGAGAGTATAGAGGACGGAAAAGCGATCCACAGGAAGTTTCGAAAACCATGAGCCTAGCAAGAGACCAAGCGGGGGGACGTCGATTTCAACCTGATGAAGTCCCTACGTCGCAGCAGATTAGTGGCTTCTTCAGCCGTCTTTCAGCAAAGAAGCGATTAGAAGTTACAGCCGCCGGTAACCGAGCAAAAGCTAGTGAAATCTCAGAAGTGGGCATGGAGAGCGTCGACAAGGACGAAATTTCCGCCGAAGCTGAGAGTCATCTATCTGCAGTGTGTGCAAATGTGATGAGAGATGTGGCTATTCAACATCCGATTGTATCTTTCGATCTAAACATCTGCGAACTTGTACAAAAACGTACACTCACAACTTTAAGAGTGGATAGGCTAAGAGACATGTGCATCGACCTTGGGCTGGATATTTCTGACATTTCACCTCAGAAGAGGAAAAAGCCATTCATCGCGCGACTCACACAATTAGTCCAGGAGTGTACCTGCTCTTCCAAGTAACTGAGCACTGAACGTTTTACGAATAACTGATCTGCTGATTATAAAAGCGGTGCGTGTATTATTTACATGAAGGCGTTGTGTGACAGCAGAGTCCTACATATCGGATTTTAGCCACTCGAGCTCACCATTGCTTGTGAAACCTCCTTATCTTTGTGTTGGACGATTTTCAGTAAATTCGAAACTGGCGAGTGCAGAAGGCGCAGAAGGGATGCAAATGCTCGAATCCATGTTCACTGGATGAGAAGTAAACGGAAACCAACGGCTTTGTGCCAAATTTAACCTTTTGAGTGCAATTCAACTGTTTAACCTGTTGTGTGTAGAATTGTGTAGAATTATGCAGAATTATGGCGTGATTCTCAAAGGGTAGCAAAAGTCGAAAATTGTTTCTCCTGTCTCCGTATATAAAAATCAAGTGTAGTTATAGACATTTTAATATGTTTCTAGTCATTTTAACGGCCAGTGAAGATATAACTGACCAAAACAGTTATTTGTGTCCGACGCGTTTAATTTTGTTATTATGCATCTCATTATGGCGTCACGGTAATTTAACCGAAATTCGGCTGGTGGTCATCTTTTGATAGTCAAAGGTCCCAAAGAAATAAAACCCACATCGTAAAGAACTATCTTTCAAGGCTTCTTGGTAGTGTTATTGTAAACTTTGAGACACTACCACATGTATTTTTGCCAAGCTATTCTAGGCCACCTTTGCCTTAATTTCGAAAGGCCGAAGATGTCGTCTCTTAATAGGGACGTAGCTTCTCTAAGAATAACATGAGACAAAAACTACCACTTTGTCTCGATAATGCAAGTCCAACTCAATATTTCTATGACTAGAAAAGTCCTTCCGTTACATTTTTGTCAGCATGACAAGTGCCCAAAAAGTGCATAATTTCAGGATCGCGCTTGGTGAAATTTGAGCTATTTACCCCCGGAAATGTTAAAACAAATTATTCCCGTTAAAGTGCATATTTCAAAAATCTAACCCCATTTCCGTTTGTTTACTAGATAAGGCTACCCACAGGCAAAAAATGAACCAAATCGATTTTTGACCGTGTCCGCGACTTTTCCGATAATCTGTGATTTTTATTGACATTTACTCTTAATTGTAAATTTTATACAATGGTCTCCTTTCTGTCTCAATAAGCCAATTTATATTGAAGTCTCCAACAATAATGCTGTTGTCAATTAAAACAGTATTTAATACTTCAGAGATGGCTTCACAAAGCTGGCTTACAGACACCTTTGGAGAGCAATATATACCTATGATTGTCCAGTTCTCACAAGTCATAACCTTTATTACAGTAATTTCAATACCATTTATATTGTGACAGCAGGGATATCCAGGTAAGTATGGGATTTTACTGTACACAGCTGTACCACTATAGGGCCTAACTAATCCATTACTGGAGTTAAGATTATCATTTTGGAAGAGATTGTAGCCACTTTTGTCATGAATGTCATTAGGATCTTGAGAACTAAATCTTGTTTCTGCAAAAATGTTTATATCAGAACTGGAATAATTAAGATCTTTATGCAAGTCTTGGATGTGTATATGAACAGATATTGCACTCAGATAACACAGTTTGAGATGGGAACCTGTTATGTGATAAAGTGGTGATATACAAAGCGTAAGTTTTGCAACTGTTCTTAATTGCTCCATTTCTATCTTAACATCAGGATGGACAGCAATTTTTTCTTCACAGAGGTCAGTTATACACAACCCTTTAAAAGTAGTAACTCTACTCAGTCCCACATTATGAATGTGTGGAATAGTTCTTCTAGTGTTGAAGTTGACAACTATTTTAGTTTCAGTATCACCCTGAGATCTGTGAACTGCTTACACTGCTGCAGGACGTAATGGAAACTGTTTCCTAACAACTTGTGCTGCTTTGCTTCTCCCTACTGCAAATTGCACAGTGACAGGTTTTATTGGGGTCCATGCATTGTCAATTCCTTGAATATAAAAATGTCTGTTTTCAATTCTAGTTTTATGACCAACAACCAAGTGGTCAAACTGTACCCAAACTATACCTGAAGGTTTGTTTTGTTGATGTAATTGAACAAATTTAATAACATTTCCAGCACCATTAGTCATGCCATCTTTCACCTTCAGCAAGACATAGGTTCCAGGCCAACTGTTTAGTTTTTCTTGGATCATTAGATATTTGTTGCAATATTTTTTCTCTTAGCTCAGCAGAGTTAGCTCCAATAACACTGTCTTGAGCAGCTGCATTGTGAACTCTTTCATTAAATTCATCTACCTTTGCATTTTGTATAAATAAATGAGGTGTGTCCATTGGGTTGTTTATGTTGTCTGGTATAATTCTCTCTTTCAATGTTGCAATGTCACTGGGTGTGTGTTTACCTTCTTGTAATCTATCTAGCAGCTCAGGAAAGAACTTACTTTCTCTTTGGTGCATAATCTCAATAAGTTCAAACATTGCAAAGTGTTGTTGCCAGATATTAGGAGCAAGAACTGCATAATCTAAATTTTTTCAGTCTTTAAAAACATAACTATCCATAACGGGTTCTAACTGGAACAAATTACCAATAGCAACATTGCTGACACCTCCGAAATCATCTTTACAACCTTTAATATCTTTAAGCCTATTATTGATTTGTATGGTGAACATATTGTTTCCTACCATTGAGATTTCATCAACAAAAATTAATTTCACTCCAAATTGAGTTCTTAGGGTGTCAAGTCTACTTGAATCAAGCTGTTTGTAATTTTTCAGTGACTGGAACAGCAAGTGCACTGTGAATAGTATTACCTTTAATGGTACAGGCAGTTGGCCCTAACAATATAATTTTGATTTGATGAAAATCATCACCAGTTTAAGTATTATAATACTTAAGGGCTGCCTGATACAATGCCTTTGTTAGGTGTGATTTGCCAACACCAGCTCCACCACTAAGAAAGCAGTAAAAGGGGCTTTCTGATCCTTTAATCTCGTGCAAAATGTGATAAGATAATTCTTTTTGGTCTTTACTTAAAGTCTGGACCATTTGGCGATAATCATCATCTGGTAATTCATTCAATACCTGTGGTTCATTATTAAATGATGATGATGATGGAATACCTAGATCACCAGACAGGTCATAGTTTTCATTAAAATCAGGGTGTAAATCTTCATTGCCAATAGCTTCATCCTGCAGTTAACATTTTGTATATTTGGTGCAATGGAATCAAATTCGTCATTAGTGTAATCTGTGTTGCATAATTGTTCCTCAATCTCATTGAGATCTTCACTACAGATGGCATACTGCCCCATTTGTTTGTCTATTTTGTCTTTTAAAAGAAGGAAACGCTGCTGATATGAAGGGCTGTTGCCTATTAAATCAGTTTCTTCATTTCTCCAAGAAGTAAAGAGCGTTATAAATTCATGGTAGTGTTTTTCAGGATGAGATTTCACATTGAACCAAACACTTCTAATTTAAGAAGTGTGGAACTCTTGGGAATTTCTGGGAATTGAATTTGAGGCAATTTTAATACCCTGAGGTCCACATAAATTCTAAGAAATTCTCAATACCTTGAATGTGAAGGTTTTAAGAAAAGGAGTAATTTCAGAGGCTTAAAACTTTGGCTCAATAAAATGTATGCTATACAAAACTTACCAAGATATATACATACATGTATATGTTTATAAATTAAAGATCATGAAATTTATTATTCAAACTAAGTTTTAGTAAATCTCTACATTAATATGGATTTTCTTATGAACCAGCTGACCGCTATGTTAAATGGAAATTGCCAATTAATCCAATGCACTCATATCACAGATTTGCTTTCTAACCTCAAAGGACTCTTGGATTCCATGATCAAAAAATATTTTTATTGTGATGCAAATTAATGTCTCATGTTCACTGATGTGCCAAAATCATCAAACATTCATTAGCTGTTCCTTGGTACACAACTTCCACAATAATTAACAATAATTACATTGTTATCTACACTTAAAGAACTTTGTTAGTTATGAACATAAGTTACTTCCTAACCTACATTACTGGTTGCCTTTGTTAGAAAACCTTGGAACATTCAACCTCAGTTGCCTCAAACACTGTCAGAGACTTTTTGTTGACAATATTTTTAGTAGAAATTTCATGCCTTAGACAAACAAATTCAACACCTAATTAATCTTTCTTTTTTCATGATTGTTGTTGCTGTTTTTTTTTCAGTTTTTTGCTCTGTTTTGTGACTAATTGCTGTAATTTGTTTTGCTATTTTTATTCTTACAAAACATTTTTGCAAGAGTTCCAATACTTGTGGATCATCCACACACTTTGCAAACATTTGGCATGCAGACAAGACAGAGGTAGTCAATGTTCCCTTTGAGAAAAAAACACCTTTTAAATGACGTCTTCAATTTACTTTATTTGAAACTCTGATCTGAAAATATTTGTCAACAAGACTTGTTAGTAGTGAGAAGTACCAACCAAGTTTCCTTTCATAACTTAATTTCTTAAATGTCCCAATCACTGGATCTCCCAAAAAATATTACATCTTTTTATTTTTGGTGCAAAATACAAGTCCTTCTTTATATAAGAATGAAGAGTGCAAGTCACACTTCAATAATAACAGCTCTAACGATCGACTACCTTTTGCTTTCCGACTTACCCGGCGTGTCACCGTGTGCCATGTAGAGTTATTCAGTAGTGAAGTGACTCCTTTCATTGTTCTAATTCAACTGTCCTTCATTCAATGATTCAGAAAATAGATTAACCATACAATGCTCGCGATTTGCTGATTTACTTTTACTCAGGAAAGTAGATTCACAACACAATCGAGTATGCAATAGTAACGCTGTGTAACGCAACAATAGGCCTTT